GTTACGACTGAATCGACTTTTCAATTCTCTATCCAACGATGCCAAAACGAATTCTGTGGCTCGAATGGTTGTTGAGAAACTTCGAATAAAGGCCATTTAGTTATCTCTGGAATGATGTAAAAACGAGCATTCTTGCTCATTTTGCTTTTTTTTTCATTAAGAAAACCCAACTGGAAAGTGCAAAATTTGATTCAAATCGCTATGTGGCGGCAAAACTTGACCCAGTTCTATAAAGCCCAAGTTTTCTAGAAATGAAAAACTAACCCAAACTAACTCAAGAAGCTTTGATCACGTACGATACGTAAACTTACTGTGGGTTTCGAAAGCCGAAAGAAAAGGATTTTTGTGTATAAACCCACTTACACAAAACTGTGTAATTTGTGCAGGTTTATTTAAAACACACCAGTGGTTAAACTTGCAACTTTCGGCCTGGATTTTGCGCAAAAAAATTAGGTTTCCTCAACTAAAGCACTTTCGTGTGGCACAAATCGGCGAAGTTTTTCCCTTAAAGTATTATTCAGTGGAACCCGTTTGAGATGTCAACCATATCGCTGCAGTGCACAATGTATAGCCAGATAAATCTATGGTTTGTCGTATTGTAGATTCATTTTTTTTGTTTTCGGTTTATTTCAGCTTCGATTCTGTGTTTCTTTTATTTTATTTTATCATTGTAACGCGCTCTGTACAAGGGAGTCCGTGTCGATTCCATCTCCCTGATGCGGACAACGATCAAGGCTTAAAAATCGCCTCGCCTTGAGAATTGAAGATGGCTATCGGTATTATATTATTGTTTTAAGTTTTTCCCAACCACCTTTTAAATGCCCGCCATGTCGGCCGTTTCTTTTCGTTATTCGCTCTTAATTACACAGCTGCTCCGCAATAATTAATATTAAACAGGTGCCACCATTTATCGGCGTTATTCACGATGAAATCCACGACAAATTTATATATTTGCTAATTGGATCTGTTTCAATCAGTTCGGTTTGTTAGCGCCTTTATTAGTCATTTTTCTGCCTTAAGCCCCAGTCCCATACATCCGTTTGTACGAAAGTGTTTCTATTGGTTGGATATCTGTCAATTCGTCCGCCGTCGTACGAATTGACAGATGATACGATGGTACGAAAGTGTTTCTATTGGTTGGAGATCTGTCAATTCGTCCGCCGTCTTACGAACGGAGGACGAATTGAC